GCTGCGCGGGCGGCAACCGCAAGTGCGCGGGAGCTCGCCCCCTTAAGGCCCCGCGGGACCTGCGCGGCCCCAGCGGCGCCCCGCGGCGAGGAGTTCCACGCATTGCCTCCTCGATTCATAGCGGCCGCGACGGCCGCGGACGGGTTCCGCCCGAAGCGCCCCGCGCCCCTCTTCCAGGATGCGCTTTCTGCCATTTCGAACCAATGAAGCCATCGACGCGTTCGCGGTTGGGCACCGGAGAGATTGCATGCATTCTTGGCCCAATTGCGTCGGGAGTTCGGGGGGCGATGGAGCCCCCCCGACGGGTTGTTTTTTTCCCGTTTGCGCACTCGTCTCCGCTACGAATTGCCGGCCCCCAATTGCGCCACATGGGAGAATGCGCGCGCGACGTCGCTTTTTTCAGCGCGGCGGGGGGGCGGGCGGGGGCGGTCGCGGACATCGCGCGGAGACCTGCGGACAGAGGAGCGCACGCGGACGGCTCAGGGACAGCCGCAGTAAACCTTCTGGCTGACCTCCGTCTGTGTTGCGAGCATGCATCGCGCGGCCAGATGTGTTGGGGCGCGGCCCCCCGCGGTTTCCGCTCCGTGTTTGTCTCCGCGCACGAGCTTGGTTTCTAGCGCAACGGATGGGCAAGGCCCGCGCCGATGCGTCGCGTCCAGGGAGGGGCTCGGCAGCAGGCAGCGCAGCAGCGCGCGCGATCGAAGGCTATTTGTATTTCGCCAGCGAGGAGACCACCCCCGCATCTACATCCGTAATCTGGGGGTCGCGGCTCGCGCAGACGACCCCAGGCAACGCCCGCTGTTCTCGGTGGACACTGCAGGCAAAGCGTCTGCGCTCGCGAATTCAAGCTGGCGCCTGCGCCGGCGCGGGCCAATCTGAAGCCGTCGGCGATATGCAGCGAGTTGTTTTCTTCTGGCCCCCCAGGTCCCGGGGAAACATGTCGAGCCAATTGCGAGGTCGATCCGGGTGGTGACTTAAGAATTGCGGCCAGAGCGGCCCCCGATTGGGCTGCCGCGGATGTCAGGAAGGCTTTGGCTAGATGATTGGGGAGGTGGGATCAGGTTCAACGGCGGACGTCCAAAATCTGGATTATGAAAGGTCAGTCTAGCATGGCGGCTAAAATGCTTGTTGTTATTCCGTGGTCAAGAACAACGCGTCGTCTACGGTGGGGGCGCCATCGGCCCCCACTCCAGCGACATCGAGAAGCTTGGATCACGGGCGCGAGAGCTTCCGGGATTCGGGCGCCAGGCGCACCCGAGGCTTCGCTGGAGTTCAGCTCCTAAGATGGGCCCATGTCACGCGCAGGGGGCGCCGTTGCCAGGCGCGCGCGAGAGCGATAGACAGCCGCGGATGCCGGCGTTCGCGCCGCCGACAAGCCAGCCCGCAAGCGTCGGGGCGCGCCTCCCGACCCAGCGAATCGCAGCAAATGCTGCGACAAAGCGCGGGCGGAGCCGACGCGGAGCCATTTCCATTCTAGACGCGTCGCCGCGGTCTCGGGTTGCTTCGCGCGGGGCGGTCTCGGCCAGCCGCTGCAATTGCGCTCGCGGGGGAAGAGATCGCGCGCGCAACCCCCATCAAGGGGGGGGCCCTCGGGGCCCTCGCGCCGCCCGCGCAGATCAATGCGCCGCGCGTTGAGGGGGGGGCCGAGGGAACGCGAGAGGAAGCCGTCGCCCAGCCTTGTCGGCGGCTCGCGCCTGCGCGACTATTTCAACCCTACCAAACAGGCCCCAGCTGCAAGAGCATCGCGCGCCGCATCTTCTACCGCGGGCACGTAGCTAGGGCTACGCTGCGCTAGCGGGCGCACAAGGTGGAGCCGAATTGCCCCCGCTGCGGGGCGGCCGAACACCACGCGCCACGCGACGCAGAGCTGCGCGCATGGATGCGCGGCCAGATGTGCACGCGACCAGACGGTGGCGGATCTGTTTTCGGATAAGATACCAGTTCGCGATGCCGCCCCCCCCAACTCGACGACGACGCCATCGAGTTCTTCGATGGCCAGGAGTAAGGAATTCCCAGGCTTACGATTGCAGGTCCGAGACCGGCGCTCATAGATGGGTCTGTGTTATCTCCCACGGACAAAATAGATCGCGAAAGGAGGACCAGGCGGTCTGCGTCGCAACAGACGATGGGCCCTTGGTTCGCGGCTTCAGTGGCCACCGCCAGCCCGCCTATCTGAGGCCGCTGACCATGCCGAACGCCATGCTTTGATAATGTTAGCCCTTCTTCTGGATGGGGGGGTGCGGTTCAGAAGTCGCCGCTGATTGTGCCGATCTTTTGCCGGAGCTCAGGGCGCAACGCAGGCAGCAAGCGGCCGCTGGACCTTCTCGGGGCACTGGGGGGCCACAGGAAACTACGCGGAAAAGCTCCACGCCAGGTGGAGGCCACGAAAAGCATACATTCATGTCCTCGACGCCCCGTGTCATGAGCAAGAGGCAGCAGTGAGACAAGAACGCTGGATGTCTGTAGGGAGCAGGTGCGTATATTCGGCTGCGATAGAGGCTGCGAGCCGTTGTGATGGGTCAAATGATATGCGTAAGTGTAATGGGATTTGAAGGAGATGGACCTCCGTTGCCAAAATCGCTGCTTCAGTTCAATAGTTGTTGGCCCCGGCGAAGGATATGTGCGGTGGGGAAGGGCCCAAATTCCCGAGGGCCCCACGGGCGGTCCCCGCGTGGCCGAACGAACCAGGGTCTCCACGGCCTGTTTTGAACGGGCGAGCGCTGGGGGTCTTCCACATGAGTCAGGTTCTACATGAGTTCGAGCGGTGCCCAGAAGTCAGTGCGCGCCCCCCTCGCCTTTGCCAGTGCCTTTGCCGTTGTTGTCCCTCCCCCGCCCCCCCCCTCCCTCCCAGGCCGACTGATGGTGGCGCGTCAATTGGCCAGGGGTGCGGTTGTTGTTTAGCGCAGCAAGCGCGGTGCATATTCAGAATGGCGCACGCCCTCAAAATTGTGCTGAGCGTTGCCGGAAGGCGAACAAACAACACTTATGCATCCTCCGTCGTTCCAAACTACTGTCCCCCAGCTGGAGCATCCGAGGGCCAGCGACGGATTGGCGGGGCCTTGTTCCCCATTGGCCTCGTTGCGGGATCGTGGGCCGTAGTTGATTTCTGATTAGCGCGGCCAGTGACGTCCCAGCCTACAAAAACACACCCTGTGAGACAACTGCTTCTGAACCCGAAGGAAAGGGGAGGAGGAGGAGGAGGAGGAGGAGGAGGTGGAACAAGAGGAGGAGGTGGAACAAGAGGAGGAGGTGGAACAAGAGGAGGAGGAGGAGGAGGAGGAGGAGAGGAGGAGGAGGAGGAGGAGGAGGAGGAGGGAAAGGAGGAGGAGGAGGAAGAGCAGGAGGACGAGCAGGAGGAGGAGGAAGAGGAAGAAGAGGGAGGGAGGGGGACCAGGCGAAGGAGGAGAGGAAGCGGGGACAGGAGTGAAAAGGGGGAGGACGAGGAGGGGGCGGAGGAAGGTGTGGGGAGGATGCAGAGATGGAGGAGTCTGGGAGCCCTGGAGGTCCCTGCTGATTCGGGACCCCCAGGGCCGCAGCTCAGAAGTGCACGGGGGAAGGAGGAGGAAGTGGGAGGAAGGAGGACGAGGAGGAGGGAAAGGGGGCGGAGGAGGAGCAGTAGGGAAACACCAGCAGGATAGAATGGCAATCATATTCGAGTCTTCGAGGAGGGAAGGAGGGAGGGAGGGAAAGGGGGGAGGGAGGGGGGAGGAGGAAGAGGACAGAGTGAGGAGGGAGACAGGAGGAGGAGGAGGAGGAGGAGGAGGAGGACGAGGACGAGGACGAGGACGAGGACGAGGACGAGGACGAGGACGAGGACGAGGACGAGGACGAGGACGAGGACGAGGACGAGGACGAGGACGAGGACGAGGATGACGAAGAGAAATGAGAGGGACGATGAGGAGGAGGAGGAGGAGGAGGAGGAGGACGAAGAGGAGGAGGAGGAGGACGAGGAAGAGAGTGGATGAGGATGAGGACGAATGCAAGCCACAAATGCATCAACGGTGCGGCAAGAAACCCTCCCTCCAAGTTTCCTCTTCACGGGTCCCTCCAGCAAGCAAAGCGGGATGCTCCGGCAGGGCCAGGAACCAAAAAGAGCAGACGATTGATAAATCTGATTTACAGTTCAAATTGCATTATACATTTGATCGGACTCGGGCACCCATTTTGGTCCCAAAGAACTGTGAATCCCATACCATGCCAAAACACCATTCCTGGGATTTCAAGGCCGCGAGTCAACGTGGCTACTGCGTCCTGGCAAAGTCTGGGTCGCGCCAGGGCACCGTTCCTGGGAGCCCAACGTTGGAAATCCACCTGACTGTTGCGGCCTGACAATCCTAAGTCGCACTAGGACAGAAGTCTTGGAAGTTAACCCTACGCGTTCTTGACACTGGCGAAAATGTTTGAGACAAGTGTGCCCAGCGGCAAAGCGAGAGCCACATGTTGAAAAGGAATTGGCCTCCATGATTGAAGCTGTAGCAATCTAAAGTTGCGCACCGTGTTGAGGCGAGGACCACATGATGCCCCGCCTTCCATGTTTGAGAATGTTGCAAATTCTGAGTTCCACGATCAAATCGTGAGGAAGCCTCAAGCGAAGCGCCCGACCCAGCCTGTGGACACGCGAGGAGACGCGACATTGAGGAGTTATGCATCGGGAGCGGGATCGAGGTGGAGGAAGAGGAGGAGGAGCAGGAGGGGGACGAGGACGACGAGAAGGGGGAAAGGAAGTAAAAGGGAAAGGATATGTAGGAGGATGAGGGGGAATAAGACGCGCAGAAGGAGGAGGAATGATTACGAGGAACAGGAGGGAGCAGGAGGAGGAGGAGCAGAAGGGAGGAGGAGAGAGAGGAAGAGGAGGAGGAGGAGGAGGAGGAGGAGGAGGACGAGGACGAGGGCGAAGGGAGCCGGGAGGAGCAGCAGCAGAAGCAGCACCGGGCCCACGTTGCTAGCCCCCCCCCGCGCGCGCAATGCCCCAGAGCGAGCGCGCCGCGCCGCGCGCCCAGGCGGACATGGACGACATTTGAGGTTGGCGCAGGTGGCTTCACCAGAGGCTTCTGGAGGGGGGGGGGCCTCGCGAGAGGCTCCTGGGATTCTAGGTTGGCGCGGGGAGGGCCTGCGCGCGCCGCGGGCCGCGCCGCCCCTAGGGAACGCCCGCGGCCGCCCCACGGAAAGGCAGTGCCCTCCGACCGCCCGCAACCGCCCCTCTTCCGCGGGCGCGGCCCCGAAGTCCCGCTTGCCGCCGCGAGCCGCCGGGGTGGGGGGGAGCACGGGCTCGCGCCCGAGCACGTGGCCCTCCCCATTGCGCCCTGCGCCCCATCCTGGCCCCTCTCGCCCTCCCGAGCTCCAGTCCCCCCCCCCGGCCATCACCCAACCCTCACCAGCGAAGGAGCGCGCAGGCTCATCGAGCCACCCCCCTCGGTCGGCTGGGCTTGCTCGGTTGGTGGCTCGCTGGGCCTGCGGGACTGGCTTAAGGGTCCTCCGGCAGTGGGTCTCCCCAGAGGCCTCCCCCCAGCTTGGGGGGAGGCCATTCCGAGGCCTCCCCATCAGACCCCCCCCCAGGCTGGGGGGAGGCCTCCCCGACCCCCCGCCCCTGGTTCTCCACCAGGCCTTGGGAGAGGCCTCCCAGAGATCTGGGGGAGGCTTCCGGGAGGCCTCCCCCCAGCTTGCGAGATGAATTCGATACCCCGGTTCGACGGGCGATACGCCCGTTGGACGGGCAATACCCCTGCAAAGTTGGGCTACACCCAGGCTGGAGCTTTCAAAAGCCCCCAAAACACCACACACACAAAAAAAAAAGAAAAGAAAAGCACCAAACACCACCAAACACCAAACTCCAAACAACAAGCCCGAAACCCGAAACACCAATCCCAAACAACAAGCCCAACACCCGAAACACCAAACAACACACCCAAAACACCAAACACGAAACCCAAAACACCAAACCCCAAACACCGAACCCCAACCATCAAACCCCAAACACCAAACCCCAAACACCAACCCCGCAACACCAAGCGCCAAACACCAACCCCTAAACACCAAACAACCTCGAAACAGCAAACACCAAACCCTAAACGCCAAACGCCAAACACCAAGCACCAGACCCCAGACACCAAACACCAAACCCCAAACACTAAATCCCCAAAAACAAACACCAAACCCCAACACCAAACACCAAACCCCGAACACGACACCCCTAACACCAAACCCTCGACGTATTCCTCTTTCCGTTCCCGTCGTCGCGGGACTTCCCGACGGCCCGCAGGCAGGACGGCGTGCCAGGGGGGGGGCAGGGTGAGAAGGAGAATGGGGAGGACGAGGAGGGAAGAGAAGGGCGCGGCAGAAAAGGAAGAGAAACACCTTTGGCTCGGGAGGGACTGCGATTCCCGAGCCGTTCTTTGGGTCAGAGTCTGACTTTGTTGTGGCCGAGGTTCGCCGTGGCCATCAAAGCCACTTCGCTCTCAATGTCCGTTTCCTTATAGCCCATGAAGGAAAAGGTCTTGAGGCAAACGGATCCTGGAGGTTTCTCGCAGCTTTCGGGTTCCGGGTATTTCAGCGGGCGCACGGATTCTTTTAGAGTCCTGAGGATGGTCTTTAGGTTTTTTATTTGGGTAGTTCAGGATGTTGAAGGATTATTGAGGGGTTTCTTTGAATTTGTTTCTAAGGATCCCCGATGATTTCCTCAGGCTTCCAGTTCGGCGTATCCTTCGGATTCCTCAGGAGTTCTGAGGGTTAGGTAGGAAGCCTACTGGTTCTTCAAGATTGCGTCGGGTTCCTGAGGGTTCCTTGGGGATCTGTAGGGTTCCTTCGAATTATTGCAAGGTGTTTCACGGTTCCTTCAGGAATCGTATACGATTAACATAGGAATCCCATGCGATTAGCATAGGAGTCGCAGGCGAAACGCATGGAACCACATCGGAACAGCGTACGGCTCTCATCGGATTCGCATACGATTCGCATCGGATACCTTTACGATCCGCATAGGAATCGTACATCGCCCACGTAGGAGCCGCATGCGATTCGCAAAGGAGCCGCGTACGATTCACATTGGATGCCTATACGATTCGCATAGAAGTCGTAAAAGGACCACGTAGGAATCGCATACGATTCGTGCCACACACGATTCGTGTACCATTCTTATGGGAATCGCATGCGACTCGGCCGGGCAACGTATACGATACACATAGGACCTGTATACGATTCGCATGGATCTGTAGACAATGCACATTGTAATCGTATGCGCTTGAAATTGCCACTGGGATCGTCGACCGTACAACGTGACGACACCGACAATCGCCAACGCGGTGCGCCTGGCTATCGAGCCGCTGGTGGGTTCCCAGGTCTCACCGACCCAGCGGAGACTCATCGGGGGGCGACGAGGCCATGGCCAGCAGCGCGTGTTCATCTGAGGACGGGGGCGCCATGTTCTACGACTTCGCGGCGGCGTCTCCGTCGGTGGAGCATGACTTTATGCAGGAAGTGTTCCGGGCCTTGGATTGGCCAGCTTGGTTGCTCAATTTCGCTGCTGTGCTCTATGCGAACAGCCGGTGCCAGATTATGCTGGGCGGCTGCCGACACAGCGGTTTTGCCATCATCCGTGGCATTCGGCAAGGCTGCCCTCTGTCACCGCTCTTGTTTGCCGTCGCGGAGGACGTGCTATAGAGGAGGCTCGTACGGCAGATCCCTGACGGCTTTCTCCGGGCTTACGCGGATGACACGGCGCTCGTGCACCCCGGCATTTGGAAGGTCATCGGCCGCCTCCAGGCCATCTTCCAGGACTATACGAGCGGATTTCGGGTGTGGCCCACAATGTGTCCAAGACGGTACTGGTTCCGCTCAGCCAGTTCGACCCGGGCGACATTCGCGCGCGCCTGGCGGAGCTCGCTCCCCTGTGGGGGTCCTTGGCTGCAGATTCAAAGGCCAAGTATCTAGGTTTCTACGTTGGCCCTGGCAGAGGTTCTCTATCGTGGGTGACCGCCTTGAAGAAGTACATCGAGAGGGCGCGGCTGTGGGGCACGATGGAATTGGGCTTGTTTCACACGGTGGACGCCTACAGGGTCTTCGTCTCTTCCGTCCTGACGTTCGTCGCCCAGCTGGATCCCCTGCCTCCCCAGTTCGACGATTTCGAGCCCCGCGCCTGCCGCTCGCTCTTCCGAGGCCCCCCCGCTTGGATGACTGCCGGACTCTTGAAGGACATGAAGTTTGCGGCGTTCCCGATCGAGCTTCTGGAAATCCACGCGTCCTCGTGGGCGGCCCGCGCCCGGGTGGCAGTCCATGAGAAGTCAGCCCACGGTGGATTGCAGATCGCACGGATAGCACAGTCAATGAGGCTGCAAAGCTCCAGCGCGGGCGGTTTTCTTGCCCCGCTTATTGTTCGGCTTGGCTCAGCAGCTGCTTCATTTGATCTTTGGATTCGGCGTGGACGCGGCTGCAGGAAGCAGGGCCATGCGGCATATTCATGCAACAGATCGGGCGCGACGAGCACCAGCGAGACGGATGGCAGGCTCGGGCGATCAAACTATTCGGGGTCCGCAGGGACCTGGAGGTTCAACAGCGTGCCCGCCGTCGGCTGGACAAGCGGATCATCCAAGTGTTGCATGGGCGCCGAGTGGCGAGGTGGCTGCGGAGCGCGCGGGCCGTCTCTACGCTCCTTCCGCCGCGCGTTCAAGCGTGTCTTTTTCGTAGAGTTTTCAATGGGTGGGCTACTAAGCAGGGGAGTGCCGCTTGTGTCCTGGGCTGCCCAGGCTGCCGCGATGCTCTGGAACACTACGCCGTCTGCCCTCGCTTCCACGAGCTCTGCCGGCGCTGGCTGGGACTCTGCAAACCCCCCGTCGACACCTGCCTCGCGGACTTCCTCGGCATTGCGCCGTCGCTAGCTTCTGTGCCTCGTGGGCGCGGGCGGGGCGCGCCCCAGGCAGGTGCGCTTCGCGCGGCGGGGGTCTACGCCTTGTACCGGCCCCGCACCGGCGCCCGGCGCCAGGGCAGCACCTGGGACGTGACCGGTCGTTTTCGCGGCTTTGTTCGGGAGGGCGTCCCGGGGCGCGCAAAAGCGATGTCTCTGGTTTCTGCCGCTGTGAAGCGCGCTTCTTCTAACTCCTAGCCCCCCCCTTTCCCCCCCCTCGCCGCGCTGTTGCGAATGCGCGCCACATTTGTATCATATTCGCTGCTGCACCATGCTTGCCGCCTGTCCACCGCGAGGCCTGCCGAGACACCGGGCCGAGAAAACAACATTTTGGGAATGGCCCCAGGCTCGGTTGTGCGCGATCTTGCTGGCGATGGTCCTGCGAATTCGCGCTGGTTTCCTCGGTCAGAACGTTGTCGGGGGGCAGGGCATGTCCGCCCGCCTGGCGCCCGAGGCTGTTGCCTCCGCGCTTGCGCGGGGCAGCTAGTTGATAACAGCTGGCGTGGTTCATCGATGCGCGTTGCAGGCGGATCGTTTCTGAATTCGCCAGCGGCTGTTTGAGGAACTCTCCCGGGCAATACTTGTCGCGGGCGGCCCGGCCCAGGCGCGTTTTGTCATAAGCAGTCGTTTTGTTATGTTTCTTTCTTCTTTCTCCGCCTCCCTCCTCCGAATCGCGGTGCCATTTGGTAGTTCCAGACATTCTGGTCTGTTCACGGGCCTTTTATGCCAGGTCCCCGGCTTCGACCAGTGGGACTGCCACCGCGAAGCGGGTGTGCGTCCACTTTTGGGGTCGAGGCTCGAGGCGATTGGATCGTCAATTTGCTCGGTTATTGCGTGCTCCGTGCCAATGGCCGGAGCAGGGCTGTTTACGTGCATGTCATTGCCCGTGCCTGTGGGCCGCCCCTCGCGTTCGGGGCCGTTCCAGCCCCGCGCCGTCGTTGCCGTAGGCCTTGCTCTTTGTCGGCAGGGCCCCACTACTTTGAACAAAACTCTATTCGAATAGCGCCTCATCCTCCAGGACACGTGCGTTCGCGGATGCCCCTATCCGCTGCAAGGGGTGACAAAGTCCACCAGTGCGTTTCCATATCCCCGCAGGTTCTGCGTTCTCCACGTCTTGCTCTCCTTCTCGGCCCCCTCCTCGTCATCCGCTTGTGCTCGCGAGGGTTCCTGTGCGAGTGCCGTCCGCCCTGGCCGGATGCCCGGCCCGAGCCCAGAGCGATCGTGTTTTTGCTGATGCTACGCTCGGCGCTGCGATCGGCCGTCGTCGCGTGTCTTGCATAAGTGGCTGACGCCGCTAAGGTATCGCACGCGATGCACGTTGTCGATTATTGTTTGCGCTGCGAGTGGTTGTGAGAATTCTGTCTGAATCGTTTTCCTCAGCGTTCCCCCTTCTTCTCCCAAGTTTTGCGTTGGAGAAAATACGGTTGCCATTGGAATCGTATACGAGACACACCGG